GTTTTTGTTTCCCCGCCCCGCCCCCCCCTCGCGGACCCTTCCCCCCGCGTACCCGTGTGTACATCGCGCATTTGCATGCATTTTTATTTCTATGTAAGCAAAATCAAGTGTGACGCGCGCGTTAACGGATATTTTCTACGTTTTGCGTTCATTTTTTTTTTTTCCGTCAATGCTTCTTACACTTATTAGTAAGACAAAAAAATCAACGCAAAACGTAAAAAAAAAACAAGCAACAATAAATATTAACACGATTCGAACGACGAACGATAAAAAGCCGTTACTTGGGTAAAAAGTATGATTGGTTCATGTGAGAGTTCATTTGATGGCTTCTCGTGTTCGTGGCGTACAACTGCTGTTGGAAATTGTGAAACTGTTGAGCATAATTCGGATCCGCAACGGTAGGACCCACGAAAGGAGAATTCTTAAAATTGGTACCTTGGCTCATTGAAGGTGGCAAAGGCTGACTCGCTTCCGGCGGCATTCCTAACGGTGATGATTTTGATCCTTGAATGAACATGTTCGGATTACCACCGGTTGATCCCAAAACCATGGGATCGCAGCCACCCGGTCCGGGAGGAAAAACGGGTCCTCCTCCTCCTCCTCCTCCGTTTCCACCCCCCATTTGAGGTACTTTCATCATTCCGCCGGGTCCCGCACGGAGTTGACCTCTCAATGGTCCGACGGGTCCAGGATTTAATACCATATTGCCTCCTAATAACATGTTCGAGACCGAGTTCGACATTAAATTACCACTCGAATTACCGATGGGACCGCCACAGTTCATTCCCGGATTACCACCAGTATTAACTCCGTCCATTGAGTTTGAATGACAGTTAGGAATAAATGATACTTTTGAATCTACGTTATTCATGGGATTGTAAATCGTTGTAAAATTCTAAACTAGGAGGTCCGCGAGTATGGCATTAGGACTATTTGTATTAGGCCTAGCAGGCAAGTATTGTATGGTGTTGGGAGTGCTCGCTTTCACTTGAACGTTCATTCCGTTATAGTTGTTGGGCCCCATCATTTTTTGAAAACCGGGACCACCAAAAAATGGAGCCACACATCTCGGAGGAGGATTATTCATATTTTGTTTCGGCGACGAAGTATTTAAAAATCCCGGTGGCATATCTATCATAGGCCCTGCACACGAAATTATAGGATTGTTAGGAGGAAATTGCATGTTTTCCATCGGTGGATTATCGTGACCCATGGGTCCCATGGGTCCTCCCGCTCCGACCGGACCCACGTGTTGCTCCATATGATTTAAATTTCCAACCATGTGCATGGAAGACGAGTTGTATGACATCATCGGTCCTGGGCCGGGGCAAGGAGGTGTCGTCTGATTGGTGAGCTGTTGACTCATTTGAGCCAACGATGTTATGGGATCGAAATGCATAGATTTATTATTTGGAGGGCAATTTAAACCGTTGGGATTGAGAGGCAAATTTTCTGGCCTGCAAGGGCTTGGCCCTGCTGCATCTGGACTAGAAGGCACCGTCGTAGTATCTGAAAATATTTCTAAATCATATAAAAATTTTACTTTTAAATTGACTAAAAAAAAAAAATTTAAACTTGCTTTCAATATATTTACCTTTAGATGTGACAACACTAGATTGAGATTGAGTGCTAACCGGAGTGGTACAAGTTGTACTTGTAGACGTTGCTATGCTTGGAAACCTGGGAGATGTCTCGGGAACTTGCGGAAGAGGACTATTGGCTGCACCATTTGGAGTTTTACATTTGGGTGTGTCCGATAAGGGCGTGTGATTTCTAGAGAAAACAAACAAAACCTAATGTTAGAAATGCTTCCGTGAAGAAAGAAAAAACAAACACAAAATAATTATTATTTTACTTACAAAGGAGAATTAATATTTGTTTCTTTCAGGCTAGTGTTAGGTTGTTTTTGTATGGTCAGTTCCTGACCCTCGAATGTGTTGAGGTAATGAATTTGTTGGGGAGAAGGCACTGGCATTAAATTAGGTTCTTTATTAGCTGAAGCGTTTTGTTGTTTTTGATGCTTTTGTTGAGTCAAGGACGATACTGTTCGAGAAAACAAATCTAAAATTTAAATAAAGAAAAAATTTATTATTAAAAAAATATTATTAATAAATTAAAAATTTCTTTTTTTTAGAAAATAATTGAAATTACCTTTACTTGGAAAATCTAATCCAGATTGTGAAGAATCTTTTCTCGAATTAGAAGTAGGTGATTGTGAAGCGGATACTGGAGTATCAGGATTATTGGGCATAAGTTTTGAACAAGAAGGTGAACCTTGATTATTGGGAGGACTGCAGGTACCTAACTTAGAGCTATTACCTGACGTAGGTACGTGTTTATTTACGTCAGATGGAGAATTTAAGTCAGATGAAGTTCTTGGAGATGGCAATGACAAATTAGAGGTAGTGTTACTAGGTGAGCCTGAAAAAAAAATTATATGAAATTTGGAATACGCAAATCATCTAAAAAAAAACTTTGTAAATCATTTGTTAAAATTTTTACCTGGATTTGAATTTGGTACGGCAATAGGTACACTTGCCGATCTGGCGGTCTGATGATAGGGAGGAGGTGGACCTTGCATTTTATTACACCCTCTAGAAACTGGGCTATCCGTTCGTGAACCTTTCTTCTTCTTTTGTTCTTCCTGAAATTGCTGGTAATGTTTTTGCCATTCCAATTGAGCAGCTACTGAAGGAAATGCATTTCCTCCTGGTATTTTCTAAATTAATTTTAATAAAATTTTATTATTTAAATGAAAAAAGTTTTTTTAATGAAATTTTGAACGAGAAAAAAAATGCTTTACCTGCATCATATGAGAATTTTGATCTTGCAAAGAATCCATATTTTCAGAAGCATCTAAAACATTATTGGGCGGATTAACCACGTTATGGCCCATGGGATTATCCATAGGAACATTTCTATTTGATTGACCATTCATATTTCTTCCCATAAGTCTATTCATAGGACTGTTATTACTGTTACCATTATTACCACTACTGTTATTACTACAATTGTTGCTATTATTGTTACTACAACTACTATTGCTGTTGTTGCTATTGTTGTTGGTATTGTTACTACTCGCATTACTGTTATTACTATTTATATTATTATTATTATTATTTACATTTTTTAAAGTCATTTGATTTTTTAAATCATTACTGTCTAATGGATTGTTTCTGTTAGGATCATCCGAATTAGGATTAACACTTCCACCGGAAATCATTCTAGGATTTCCAAATTCATCGGTGGGCGGAGCTTGATTTCAGGAAACAACATTTCCTGCATTTTCCTAAGAGTGCCATTGCTCCGCTCGGTGCTGTCGTTGTTGAGGGGTAAGATTTTCCGTACGCACTTTTGTACCGGTGAGAGTCAATTGCGAAACACCAGGAAAATGATTAGGATTTAAGTTATCAACTAAAGGTGGCCTCGTCATTACACATGGCTTATCTCGTTCCATATTTTTCATAGTCCCGAATAATTCATGTTATTTGATTCATATTGCCCTGTATATAATAATAATGATGATAATGTATATTAAATAGTAAAATGAAAATTATTAAATTTTTCGTGTACCTGATCCAATATCATGGAGTCATGGATCATCCCCCAGTAAATCTCCATGGCGATGATCTCCCATATCCCTACCGCCCGGTGGCAAGTCACTGGGTTCATTCATACCCTCAAGATCAGTCAAAGGTACTTGCATGTTAGGTGCTACTTGGCGCGGTCTGAGCCAGGGCCTGGTGGTATGTCACACGGACCAGGCATTCCTCCCGGAATGGGACCTCTCGGGCCCATGGGCATTTGTCCCATTGCTTTCATGGGGGGATTTCCGCCAAAGACAGATTTTTGTTTAATCTGAGCTAAATTATTTAACCATTGTGCAGAACTTTGACGATGAAATTGATTTAATTTTAAGGGATGTTTCTAAAAAATAAGAAGTAAGATATTGGGTTGATGACAATTTAAAATCAAGTATTTAATATTCATTTAACAAAACCTGATAACTTTACCTCCAGGTATTTTTTAGTGCCTGGCTGAGCACAATGATATGCAATAATTGATGAATATTGCCCTTGTAAAACTGATTCAGCAGATTTATTGGCCAAAGTAGTTGTGAACACAAATATTTGACTTTGTTGTTGCATATATTGAGCTTCCATTGTGCCTGGTTGTTTATTGATCACATTACTAGGAAGAGGCTGAACTCCAGGCTGTAAACCTGATCCTGGCTGATCTATGCCTGATCCCTGAGGGGGAGGTCCACCAGGATTTTGATTGCATAATCCCAATATTAAATTTTCACTAGAATCTATAGTACAAAGCCACATTTTCTCAGCCTCAAACTTTTGGAAAATAAAATAAAAAAAAATCATTTATTGCAATACAAACTACCTGGAGCAAACATATTTCCATCTGGAGGCAAATTTTCAGCTTTAATTTTAGAGGACAATAAATTGCCCTGAAGATCTTCTTCTTCTGATGCATCTTCAGGTCTTGCACCAATTTCAGGTTTAGTATCAATAAATGACCTATCTTGAATTTTACCTACCGAATCCATTAAACCTGCTTTCATATTGTTAACATCTCCAGTCTAAAATGAAATGAGAATAATTTTTAGGAAATAATTTCACTGATGATTACTAATTAGAAAAAGCTTTAAACAAATGTATTCTCTTTTTTTAAATGCAAATATTAAACACATTAAATTTATTTATTTATTTTTTTTTTACCTTAGAACAAAGATTAGAATTTTTAGTCTCATTTTCACACAATGATGTGTTGAGTACAGGTTCTTTTTTGAATTCAACATCCAAATTCGGTTCTGTTTTAACTCCATCAACACTTTGCAGTAGTGTTGTTTTATCCGATTTCATTTTATCCTTCATACTTTTAATGGATCCAATATTTTCATTGAATTTATCACCATTGTTTCTTTTATTAACTTTTTTCTTTCCTCTTTGAGTTGTTTCCTATTTATAAATCATTTTCTCCATATTATTTTTTGCAATTTTGAAAACCAAACACAAAAACTAAATTTAAGGTGGCCAATCACAACAACCAAACAAATTTATTTTTTTTAAATAATACTTCTCAAGAACATTTAACACAATGATTGTGCATTTTGCATAGTTAAAAAAATAAAATATAAAAATGAATAAAGAATTTTTAAAAAATTATTAATGATGGTAAACATATTTTGATTTAATTTAAATAAAAAAAAACAAACACTTTTAACATTGCGTTTTAGTAGAACAATTTTAATCATATAATAAAAATTATACATTAAAAACTATTCTTTTAAATATATTATAAATAAACGATTTGTAAAAAAAAAAAAAAAAATTTTTTTTTTTTTTAAACATGGTATGAATCTATTTACAGAGAGAACGAGTGAGAACGAATGAGCGAGAGAGAGAGAGAGATAGACATATTTCGTTTTTCCGTAAATTTTTGAAAAAATCTTATAAAAAAAAAAAGTAATAAAAAATTCAACGCAATTCTCGATATTTATTGAATAATAAAAAAAAACTAATTTCTATCGAATTAAAGAAAGCTTTTTTTTTTTTTTTTAGTAAACATAATAATAATAAACATTGTTTTTATTCACCACCCAACACAGGCCTATTCGGACGTACGAGTTTTAAATCTATAAACATAATGGTAAATTATTGAAGATAATTTTCAAATAATACTCACCATCATATAGAGAACAACTACAATAATATTTTGGTTTAGCACCGTAATCTATTTCAGAATAAAATATCCATTTAGAATGCGACATATATAAATATTTATTATTAACTTCAAGCCATCAACTTATTATATTTTATTTTATTTTATTTTGTCTTTTACATTGCAAACTGTTTATTTCCACCACGTATTTATCTGGTTTTGAAATAAAAGCCGAATGACCGGAAACGAGACTCAATCCTTATTGCCACTTACAAACAAGAGAGCGTTAGGGAGCATGGTAGTAGCGTTTCGACCGACATAAGACGTTGTGAGTTAGACATTTCGTAAATGAAGTTTTTCGATTATTTTTCAACCGTTCATTTTTTTACATTGGCGTAAGTATGTCGAAATACATTTTTTTATAATTTAATTTAATTATCTATATTTATCTATATCATTTTAATACATGAATTTGTAAATTATTATTATTTTTATTTTAATTTTAAGTCACGTGAACAACTAAAAACTGATAACTCCGTAATTAAATATATTTAGGCGTGTTTATTAAAAACTTTTACTTAAAATGAATTAAAGTTAAATTAAATCAAATCAATTGTAAATATCATCATTTTATTATTCGATTTATAAAATAATTATTATTTTACTTATCGTCTAATTCTTAAAATAAATTAAAATTCCAATGTTTTTCATATGATTTTTTTCGCGACATATACTATTTTTTTATTATGATTTATCAATTCGAAAAATAAAAATAAAATAAAAATTTTTTTTTATGTTTAGTTTTGTTATGATTCGATTCCCATAATTTGACCTTTGTTCTTATTTTTATGATTATTATTATTTCATTCTCCTGTCTATATCGAGAAAGAGCAATAAACTTATAAAAATTCAATTGAATGAAATTTTTTTTATTTTGTTTACTATTTGTAACCCCCGCTTACAAAAATAAAAAAAAAAAACCTTTTCAAACTTTTACAATAACTTTTTATTCGTTAAACATATTTAATTTTTTTTTGTTCTCTCTGATAACATAAATTAATTTTTTATAAAACTATATTAAATTTACGAAAATATCATGTTTAAAAAGTAATTCATTTAAAAGAAAACATAAATTTTTACAAAATATTTCGTCGGTTTAATTTATTATTATTAATGAAATTTTAATAAAAAAAAAAAAAAAAAAAACAATTGAAAGGGAATTTTTTATTAAAATGCATCATCAAATTATTAAAAATAATGAATTAAATGAAACTTACATGAAGGAAATCTGCCTCTTATTATGATAAAAAGTTTGAAAATAAAGTCGCATGTAGGTGGACAGTTGACAAAATTGTTGTAATTGAAATGCTTTTCAAGTAATAATAATAATAATAATAATAATGTATGAGTTCTTACAAAAGAATAATAACTAAAAAAAAAATTTTTTTGTTTTATAAATTTGCTTTTTCCTCATTTTTTATTTTTTTTGTTTTTTTTTATTTTTAGATATAATGGGTCAGTTGGTTATGTCAGTTTTATTACTTATAATATTGTACACACAAGTACTATTCGGACAATCAGACAGGGGTAGACAAAGGCTCAGGGGTAAGTTTTTTCCTTTTTTTTTTTTTTTTTTTTTTTTTTTTTTTTTTTGAATAAAACAAAATTTTATTTAACTTCATAATGGATTTGCTAAAATTTATTTTAAACAAAAAAATTTTAGTTCTTTGAGTTAGTGTAGTTGAATTGAGTTCTTTATTCGATTTTCATTAACCGAAATCCCTTGTAAACAAGAATTTTACTTTTTAATAACTAAACTAATGAAAATTTTCAACCTATTTATTTTTTCAATTTGTTTCATAAAATGTATTTCATATATTTTCACATTCTTATTAAAAGAAAGAGAAAAAAAAAATTTCATCAGTTGTTTGGCACAAACAATTTAAAATGAAAACAAACATGGATTAATTGAACTTTTATTTTTTTTTTTTTTAAACTTTACAAAACCAGATGGTTAATTTAAGTTTACCAAAAAAAAAATTTTTTTCTCATATATATATTTACAACATTTGTAAGTGTCAACAGTGAAAAAAATTTTTATTTTCCCTAATAATATTGAAGGGAGCAAATGACGCATAAATATTTGTTCGACAAAAATTTTGTCGAGATTTTTTTTTCTTTTGTCATAAAGTCTTAAGTAATCGAAATGAAAAAAAAAAAAAAAAAAGAAAGAAAAAAAGAAAAAATTTACATAAAAAATTATGTTAATGAACGTTGAAACTTTTTAACTTGTCAAGATAAAAAAAGAAATATTTTTTCATTGATGTAATAACCAATTAAAGACTTTTTTTTAGAAAAAAAATTTTCCAGTTATTGTTACAATTAATTTTAACTTAATCAAATTAATTTTTCTCCCCCCCCCTTTCCCTCTTTGTTAATCATCATTAATTTTATTACGTCACATTTGAAGTCTTATTTTTTTAATATTTAAATTATTATTAAAAAATTTATGTTGATTTTTCATTTAAATGGAAATTTTTTTTTGTTTGTTTGTTTGTTTTGTTTTGTTCTTCAAATGTTGTCGATGAGGTTTTTCTTTTATTAAATTGACAATGCAAAAAAAAAAAAAAAAAAAAAAATTACGTCAGATTAATACTGGAAAAAAATTAATTGGAATTAATTATGTCGTCTGTCTATTAAAAATTTTTATTTATTTATTAATTAAACGGTTAAGTTTAATAATACATAATAATTATTCCTGTTCAGAAAACAGGAAATGAACTTATCACATACTGTTCGTTGTCGTTTCCATATTTTTTTTTTTCGAAACTGTTCACTCTAAAGATAAGAATAAATAAAATTATTATTATTATTATTATTATTTATTTATTTATTTATTTATTTAAAAATCAAACGAATTTATTAAATTTTTCGTGGGGGGTAATGGATCTTTTGGAAAATTCGCATGGATTTTTTTTCTTTTTTTCCACATAAAAATAAACTTTTTCATTTTATTTTTCTCTTTTTTTTTTTTTTAAACAATTTAATGGCGTTTTTAATCAATTAATATTTAAGTCTTATAAAAAATAATGACACAATTCGTCTGCTTATGAATTATGTAGGAGAAATTATGATGTGTGGTTTATTTATTTTTTTTTTTTTTTGCCATTTTTTCGCGGTTTTTGTTTCTCTCGATGCAAAGTCATTCATCTGAAAAATTATTTTGAAGGTTGCATCTTCCCACGTTTATTTTTTTTATTTTTTTTTATTTTTTTTTTGATAGTTAAATGAAACATTTAAGCAAATCTTTAATTTATCAGTTCCTCTTTTTATATATAAATTTTTTTTTTTGTCTTTTCTTATTTTGAATTTTCCAAATCATTCGTATATTTTCTTCATTTTCCAACCGAAAGCAAAAAAAAATTAATTATTAACTTTTGTAATGAATTTTTATCAAATTGCGTGTGTGTTTGTTTGTAATTAATTAATTCCCCAAAAAAAATTTTTTTTGAATTCTCCATTTAAAAAATTTAAAAAAAAAAAGAGGAAAAAATAAATAATAATAATAATAATATTGCAGATGTTAAATATGGCAAACTGCGTAATAACGAATCGTATTTTCAAATGTATTTTCAAATGTAATTTTAAATGGAACTTAATTATTATTCGTTTACCGTATATATTATGTGAAAATAAATTTTTCTTATTTTTTTTAAGTGTAAAAATAGAATCTGACTTAAACTATCTGAAATAAAAATGTCTGAAGGAAACAAAAAAAAAAAAAAAAACATTACTCGCTCCCCAAAATTAGCATCAAAAATTAATTTTTAATTTAATACGCGAATTTAAATTATTTAAATTCGATTCGGTTCATAAACTTTTTTTTTTTTTTAATTTTTACATTATTATTATTATTATTATTATTATTATTATTATTATTATTATTATTTAAATATTTTTCAGAGCAGTACAGATATTCTAGAACTCAAACATGTGAAACAGGATCTTGTTATCCTGCAACAGGAAATCTTTTAATAGGTCGAGAAAGCCAGCTGAGAGCAACATCAACCTGCGGTATTAGAAAACAGGTAATTTTTTTTTTAATGCCTAACCGACTCAAAACCTGAATGGTTTTTATTGTTTTTTTTTTTTACAACAAACAAACAAACAAAACTTTTCTGTTTAAATTCAAAGAAATTTTTTTTTTCCCCCTTTTTCATTTCATTTTTGTTTGTTTGTTTGTTTCCAGGAAAGATATTGCATCGTGTCACATTTAGAAGGACCCAAAAAATGTTTTTGGTGCGATTCAAGATATCACAATCAATATGATAAATCATTGAGTCATAATATATCTAATATAGTTGATATTCATCCTAGAGAGTGAGTGGAAACCAACATTTTCTTTTTTTTTTTTATATTTGTTGTTAAAAAGTAATAATGATAAAAGTTTATTATTATATTAACTGAGTAATAATTTTTTTTTTTTTATTTCTATCTGATTGCATGATGCTTAGATGTCATGATTTGAAAATTATTTAAATAACGGATGGGTAAGTTAAAAAAGATTTACTCTTTTAAATTTATATAACGTCAGGACGATGTCATTTAACGGATATTAAATTTTTTTCTTTTTTTTTTTGTTCCCTCAGTCAGGTTTATATTCGTGTTACAGGTTGTTTAAAAATCCCATTTTACCATCAGAAGTTTTCAAACAAAATTCCTCCTCTTTAATAACCTCCTCCTATTCCTGTACTCTAAATCTGTCCGAGTTCCAGGTAAACCCGATTATTATGAATGAATTCCTGAAAAAAAAAATCTGTAAATTATTTATTTATTTAATTAAAATTATTTTTTTCCAGGTTGGATCCGTGGTGGCAATCTGAAAACGGAGTAGAAAATGTTTCCATTCAATTGGACATGGAAGCCGAATTTCATTTCACTCATTTGGTTATTCATTTTAAAACATTTCGACCGGCTGCCATGTTGATCGAAAGGTCGCAAGACAAGGGAAGAACGTGGCACGTTTACAGATATTTCGCACATGATTGTTATAAAGTCTGGGGCATGAGACCAGACATTCCTAGAAGTTTAAGTGATGTTATTTGCGAAGAAAAATACTCTTATGTCAATCCCTCATCCGGAGGAGAAGTGCGTAAAATAATCCTTTAATCGGAAAAATGTTTTGAGATTAACTTTTCTTTACAAATTAATTTTTAATTTTTTAGTTGATCTTTCGAGTTATTCCACCTAACATACCGGTGGAAGATCCATTTGCTTCCGAAGTTCAAGAACTTGTTAAAATGACTAATTTAAGAATAAATTTTACTAAATTACATACTCTTGGTGATAATTTGTTAGACAAAAGAGAAGAAATTCAGGTATGGGATTAAAAATATTTTTTTCGAGTATAAAATTCATTTATCTTATATTCCAAATTCAAACGTTTCAGGAAAAATATTATTATGCCATTAATCATATGGTTGTTAGAGGGTCATGTTCTTGCTACGGACACGCCAGTAGGTGTCTTCCTCTTCCTGAAAAAGCCAACAGCTATTATCCTCCAGACATGGTTCACGGTCAGTGTGAATGCACGCACAATACTAAGGGATTAAATTGTAATGAGTGCGAAGATTTTTATAATGATTTACCGTGGAAGCCAGCTTTTGGAAAATCACAAAATGCTTGTAAAAGTATGCAAGAAATATTCTTACTCCTTGCATGTCATCGAAATTATCAATCACTAATTTTAAATTTTTATTTCAGGATGTAATTGCAACAGCCATGCCACGTCTTGCCATTTTGACTCTGCAGTATTCGAATTAACGGGTAATGTTACCGGTGGTGTTTGCGATAACTGTCAGCACAATACCCAAGGACGAAATTGCGAAGAATGTATTCCGTTTTACTACCATGATCCCGGATACGACATTCAAGATCCCAACGCTTGTCAGCGTAAGTAGTTCAATAATTTACATTTTAAATGTTTAACCTTTAAATAGAAATTGATTGTTTTAATTATTTTGTCATTTTAGCATGTGATTGCGATCCTAGAGGTTCTACGGATGACGGAATCTGCGATTCTCATACGGATCCTGGAAATGGATTAGAGTCGGGCCGTTGTCACTGTAAACCAAATGTTGATGGTCGAAGATGCGATCGGTGTAAGGAAGGATATTGGAATTTTGACGAAAACAGTCCAGAAGGATGTCAAGGTAAATTTTTTTTTTTCTTAATTTTTATATTGGTTAATTTTAATAAATGCTGATTTTTTTTAACGGTTATTTGTTTAAGCTTGCTCTTGTAACATTCACGGAACCGTGAATAATCAGGGATGTAACGTCAATACTGGAGAATGTACTTGTAAACGTTATGTGACGGGTCGAGATTGCAATCAATGCCTCCCTCAGTTCTGGGGCCTTTCAGAAGATCGAGATGGATGCAAACCTTGCAATTGTGATCTCGGAGGTGCGTATAATAATGATTGCGATGTGATTACTGGACAATGCCGATGCAGACCACATGTTGTTGGAAGAGCTTGCGATCAACCAGAGCAAAGTTATTTTACTGCGTATCCGGATTATCTAATTTACGAAGCGGAATTATCGAAGGGCTCCGGAGTAAGAATTTTTCAAAATTAATAAAATTATATTAATAATTATTTGAGTGATTACTTATTTATGTAAATATTTTTTAGGATTCCCAAGTGGTTGTGTTAGAACCAAACAGAGAAGGCAGAGGAAATATTTGGACTGGACCGGGTTATATGAGAACCTTTGAAGGATCTCAATTAGAATTTGAAATTAATAATATTAAAACTCCAATGAAATATGATTTAGCCGTTAGATACTCTCCCCAATTGCCAAACGGATGGGATAATGTTAAAGTTCATGTAGAAGGATTACAACCATTAGATCCTAACGGGCCTTGTGCCGGTACAATATCAAATTACGAATCTTACGATTTGCATCTGCCTGTAGAAAGTCGAAGTTCGCAACTTCCGTCTCCCCTTTGTCTGGAACCCGGTAAAACATATAAAGTTAGATTAGATTTCCGAAAATATGATCCAACGGTAGAAACTCCGTCGGCTTCCGTTCTTATTGATTCCGTATGTTTCTTTTTTTTCGATTTTTTTTTTTTTTAAATGGTAAACCTACAATTTAACAATTATTTAAAATTCTCATTGTTGTAAATTACAGATAGCTCTACTGCCACGTTATGACGAAATTGGATTTTATAGAGGGTCTCCTGAAAATGAAATAAATCACGAAGAGTTTAGAAGATATCGTTGCGGAGAAATGTTTCAATATGCGAATAAATTTCCCAGTCGGCAAATTCCAAAAATTTGCTTGAAGCATCTTCAAAGCATCGGAGCTTTCGTTCATGACGGTGCCTTTCAATGTGAATGCAATCCCACGGGATCAATTTCTTACGAATGCGATCCTTTGGGTGGACAATGTGATTGTAAACCGAATGTCGTCGGACGTCGCTGCGATAGATGTGCTCCTGGAACTTACGGATTTGGTCCTGAGGGCTGTTTAGGTACTTTTTTGTATTTTTGTATTTTAGATTATCGAAAAAAAATTTTTACTGACCTATGAAATTATTTAGCTTGCGACTGTAACTCTTTGGCTCTGGATAATTTTTGCGATCAAATAACTGGACAATGCAAGTGTCGACAACACACATACGGACGAGTTTGTGATCAGTGTCAAATAGGATTTTGGAATTTTCCAAATTGTCAACGTTGTGAATGTAATGGTCATGCTGATACTTGTGATTTAAAAACCGGGGTCTGCATTTCTTGTAGAGATGCCACTTTCGGTGATCGTTGTGATCGTTGTATTGAAGGATATTACGGAGATCCAAGACTTGGTATTGATATACCTTGTCGGCCTTGTCCTTGCCCAGGCAGTTTAGATAGTGGTCATTCTTTTGCATCGCGATGCTTTTTAGATCCTAAAACTCACGACGTTGTTTGTAATTGTCACATTGGATATTCAGGTAAATATAAATTTTGGTTCTTCGGGTAAATTATAAATGGTTTCCCTAAAGAGGTTTACGTTTATATTTACTTTTAGGGTCTCGGTGTGACGTTTGCGCGGACAATTATTACGGTGATCCCGAACTTCCTGGAGGCTCTTGCCAAGCATGTAACTGCAGTAACAACGTTGATATCACCAGACCAGGAAACTGCGATCCTAAAACGGGACACTGTATACAGTGTTTGTTTAATACCGAAGGAGAACACTGCGAAAAATGCAAAGAAGGCTACTACGGTGACGCCATTAATCAGCAATGTAGAGGTATTTCGATAAAACTTGGCTTTAATCTTTTATTTTTTTCCATTTGAAATTTACACGAATGAAATTTGTTTTAGAATGTGTTTGCGATTTGTTGGGAACCAACGCTACTGCCGGACCTTGCGATAGAACAACAGGACAATGCCCTTGTCTTCCAAACGTAATAGGTTTGTCTTGTGATACCTGTAAAGAAAATCATTGGAAAATCGCAAGTGGAAATGGTTGCGAACCATGTGGATGTGATCCGGTTGGTTCTTACAGCGAACAATGTAATTATGTAAGTTTTTATCTATTCTGTTTTTTTTTTTTTTTTTTCCGTTGTTTGTTAAGATTTAACATCTAATAATGTGTAAAATTTCAGTTTGATGGACAGTGTAATTGTGCACCAGGTTTTGGAAGCAGACGATGTGATCAATGTCAGGCGTACTTTTGGGGAGACCCCAAAGTACAATGTCATCGTGAGTATTTAAAATATTTTTATGTTTTTTACTTAAAACTTTTTATTTTTTGTTTTATTATTTTAGAGTGCGAGTGCGATGTAAATGGATCGGCGACATTACAATGTCATAGAAACAATGGAAGTTGTATTTGTTTAGAGGGAATTGGTGGTAGCAAATGTGATAAATGTGCAAGAGGTTATCTCGGCGTGGCCCCTGATTGTAGGTTTTGCGGAGAGTGCTTTAAAAATTGGAATGACATTTTAGAAGATCTCATTGGTAATTTTAAAAAAAATATAGTTATTACTCGATGACGTCATTGCTGTAATAAATAATTTTAAATTTTTTTTGTTTTTGGACTACAGTTCAATCCGAAAAAGTAATTTTATCGGCATCGAATATCAAAAATGTCGGAGTTCAAGGAGCTTACACACACAAGTTTTTGGCAATGGAAAAGATACTAGATGACGTACAAGATCTGTTGAAAAATATGAATATGTCAGCTCGCGAATTAGCCACAACAGAAAATTTAATTACGCCCCTTAAAAATAATTTACTCGAGGCTGCAGAAAAATTAAACGAAACCGGAAAAGTGTTGGAAACTACGGAACAGCAAATCAAATGGGTAGATTTAGATTTAAATAAACTTACGGATCAAATGAATGTTTTATTGGTGGCAACCAAGGAATTAAAGGAAAATGCGACTAAACTTCAAGAAGCCAACGTCGAAGGTACAGGGAATCGAATAATATTTGCTAAATTCATTTTAAGTTATTTAAAATGAAAAAAAATTGACTTCAATAATTAAATTAATTTTCTTTTAGGTGCTTTGAATCTTACGAGAAAAGCTCAAAAACAATCATTAGATGCTGAAATAAAAGCAATACAAATATTTGAAAATGTATTAGCTAATTCCGAACGTCAATGTAAAAGAGCAATGACTCTCTACAATCGTTCAATTGATGAAGTTAATAACATGAGACACAATAATGAGAGAACAATAGCGAGTTTGAAAAATCGATTGGAGAGTTTGAATGAAAAAATACCCAAACTCAATGAAATGGTTAATTTTATTTTTATTTTTTTTTTCCTTCGGAGGTTAAAAGAAAATCAATTTTTAATGTTGCGAATAAAAATTTTTTTCAGGTTTGTGGGAAAAACGAGGTTTGCGATGAAACTTGCGGCGGTGCAGGTTGCGGAACGTGCGGAGGAATTTCATGCGATTCCGGAGCAGTTACCAAAGCGAATGCTTCATTCGAAGTCGTCAAGAAAACGGATCAAATCATTAAGGAAAAAGAAGAAAAAGCGGAAGAATTATTGCGGGGGGTCGCCCAAGCAAAGCAAGAAGCTTCATCTGCTTACGATGCTGCTCAAGATGCTTTAATGACGGCGGAAAATGCTAAAAACGGTTCGGAAAAAGCTATAAAGGAATCATCGGAATTTTTTTCAAATCTCGAAAAATTTTTTAGCACTCCCGGTGCTAAACCTGGCGACATAAGAGCAGCAGCAGAAGAGGTAATATAAGAGTGAAATATTTTTTAAATTTTATTTTATTTTGATAAAATATATAGAACCTTAATTATTTTTAGACTCTTCAAATGGATATCAATCGAGAACCGGAACAAGTGCGAGAATTAGCTTTGAAAATAAATAACGCTGTTGCCAAATTGACGAACATCGATTCGATTTTGGAAGAAACAAATGCCGACAAAAAGACAGCCGGTAAACTTAAAGAAGAAGCTGTTAAAGTGAAGTAAGTATTAATTTCTCCATAACGGAGAAAATTTGCATTTTTACATTATTAATATTATTTATTTTAGAACGGATGCCGAAAACATATTAAACGTTCTTGAAAAAGTGAATCAGGCTTTGGAGGAAGCTGGAGATGCTCAACAAAAAGCAGGAGATGCTATACAATTAGCTAACATTGACATAGCTGCTGCCGAAGACGATCTGACTCAGGTAAACCAAAAAAAAAAATTTATTTTTTTCTTCAAAAAAAGAATAAAATATTTACCAAAAAAATATGATTTAGATAACAAGCGAATCGAGTGCGGCAAAATCAAAAGCAAACGAAACGATGAACACGGTCAAAGATTTGAACGGACGTTTAAATACTCTCAAAAGAAGATTTTTGAAAAATCAACTGAGCGCATCGGAAATCAAAGAGGAAGTCGATGCTGTTTCCAAGGATGCCAACAACACTTTGGCGGAAGTTCAAAAATTACAAGATCAATACGGCGTGGCAGAAGAAAAATTGATGAACAGAGCTGGTAAAAGTTACACGGCGAAAGAAAGAGCTCAAAGGTTATTCGATAGAGCGAGTCAATTGTTTGTCAATACAAACGCCAAAGAAAAAGATTTGAGAGGTTGTTGTTGTTGTTGTTGTTTTAATTTTTGTATATTTTCAAAATGACGTCATCAAAAATCATTTTTTAAAAAAACGGGTTTTATTTTTTTTTTTTTGCAGATTTAGAAAAATGGTACGAAGAAAAAGAAAAAATGTTTGAAAGTTTAAACGATGAAATGATGATGCTGTCGAATAAAATGGACGAATACATAACGAAAATAAGCAGTCGTTCGAAACACTACAGCGAATGCGTTTCGTAGTTTTTTTTTTTTTTTTAATTTTTTTGTATTTTCTCTTTCCCCTCCCCCTCCCCCCTCATAAAATGGTTTACAATGACTACCACTCGTTCGAAAAATGATTTTTTAAGGTACATTTGCAAAAGTTTTCCCCGTATCGTCTACATGAATGTGCGCGTATAAATCATCGACTTGGAGTAATTTTTATAATGTCAACCATTTTGTTTTTTATTTTTTTCTACCGAGAATTTAATTAATTAAAAAAATGCTTAATCGTTAATTTAATTTCTTTTTTTTTTTTTTTATTCGTGTATTTATTTACAAATAATAATAATAATAATAGTAAAAAATCAAGTTGATATCATTTACCATTTCGTATTATTATCATTATTATTATTAGGTAAGAGCATGATGCATTTTTTAAATAATAATAATTTTTTTAATTAGTTATCGCATTATTTTCATAATCATAATAATTAGTTAATTAATGTAAGTTATTAGTTTTAAGTTAAGGAAAAAAAAAAAACGAATGTAACCAAAGTTTTTTTGTTTTTTTTTTTTTTTTTTTTTGTTAAAAATTTACAAACTATTATTAAATGTTAAAAAACGATAATTTCGATTAATTTAATTATTAAATAAATCAACGTTAATAATAATAGTAATAAAAGTTACCTAAGTAATAATTAAAATTAATGTTTAGGTAAGAAAAAAAGAAAAAAACCGCGGCGGAAAAACAAGACTAAAAAATAATAATAAGTGTTTCAATGACGTCATTAATTAATTTTTTTTTTTAAATTAAATTTATCGTTAATTATTACTAACATTACATACAAATTTTTTTAAATATATATAAAAACTTATTAATTTTATTATTATTATTATTATTAATTATATGATTCACACTGCCAGTGTTATATATATAAAAAAAAATTTTTTATATAGTTATATTTATATATATATATTTTTAAATAAAATTTTATTACTTTTGTTGTTCTTGTATTTCTTATATAAATATATAAATTTATTTCGAACCGTGATGGTGGAAATTTACGGAAAATTGTTTGATCGATTTTGTTTATCTCGAAGGAAAGTTTAAAATTGATTTAACTCGGCCATTTTTTTTTTTTTTTTTTATTAAATGGAATTAATATCAAAATGGTGAGTTATCAATTATTGAATTAAATGTTTATTTGTTTTTTTTTTTTTTAATAAATTTTTATTTTTAGATTGATGAAACGGAAATACAAACACAAGAAGAAGAAAAAGATGGCGACGGCGATGATGATGATGATGATAATGTGTTACATAGTTTATTTGTTGATCTGACTTTGGAAAATGATCATAAAGGGGATGAATTTGAATGGTTTAAATCAAAAATTTATTATGAGAAAAAACCCATAGAAGATGATAAGACGGATAAATCCGTTAAAAAAGGTGCCCAATATAGGATAATCATGATTAAATATAATTTTTTTTCTCCCTCTCTGTGAAGAGAGAGAGTTCATTGAAGAAAGAGAAATAAAATCTATTAGTTATGATTATTATGCTTGAATTTTTTAATTACGTAGATGAACGGGAAAAAGTTAAAATAATAACAAATTTAGAAGATGTTGAAACAAAATCAAATACATTATACATAAGACTTATGGAAACAAATACAATATGGCTTCTTTCAATTGATACGTCATTTAGTGAATGTGATGTGGAAGATGGTAAAAGAATACAAAAGAAAAACGATGATTATATTGCGGTAATGTATTTAAATATATTATTATATATTAATCCACTACTAATAATAATAATAATACATTGATGATTTTAGAAAAAGAATAATGAAGAAATAATAAGAAAACGTTGGTCGGCCGAAACTCAAACGCCTAAAAATATGGAAAAATCACAGGGAGTTGTAACAGATGAAATTATTATTAACGATGCAAATATTTTTGCATCAGAATGGGATTTATATGATACATATAAAGGATTATCACGTGGTATTTTTAAATTATATTTAATTAATAAAATAAATAACATTTTAAAAAAAGTTTTTATTTATTTTTACAGATTTAAATGATGATGAGACTTTGATGGCCAATTTTAAAAATGATAATGATAAAAATTCATACGTTCAGGTTAGTTTTTCTGTTTTGGTTTAAATGATAAAATTGTTTTGTTTTTATTTCTAATACAATAATTTATATTTTTAGTACGAAATAAAAAATTTATTAACAATGGAAGAACAAATTTTTAACATTCACAACAAATTAAATTTTAAATATGCTGCTTTGGTTACAGAAAGACTTTTAGCATCAAATTGTTATCAAGATGAACAAACAATATTTAAAAAAAAATTACCATCACCTTGTATTATTATCATTATTTAATTAAATTACAATTTTTAATAAATAAAAATAATTATTACTTACCATTTATTAATTTTATTTTAGACGAATACGAACCAACAACGTTTTCTTATGAAATATCTAACCTATGGAATTTTGAAAAAAAATTTAAAGAACGTTTAATGGTTACCGATTTAGATTGGAATCCATTAAATAACGTAAATTTATTAAAATTATTCAAATAAATAAATTGAAAATTGTTGTGTTTGATCATTGTTTTGTTTTTCTTTAGGATTTATTGGCGGTAGGATATGGAAATTATAATTTTTTAAAAGTAACTTCCGGTTTGGTTTGTCTATGGTCACCGAAAAACCCGCGACAACCGGAAAGAGAATTTTATATCGATGAAGCCGTTACGACAATTAATTATTCAAAAACAAAACCAAATATTTTAGCTGTCGGTACGAAAAAAGGAAAAATATATGTTTTAAATGTTGCAGAACATGATGGAAATTTAAGATTACTAAGGTAATTACATAATTAAATTAAAATTAACTTTTAATTATTTAAAAATTTTAAACGTTTTAGAAACGATAATCAACCACGTCCTGAACCAATATGGAAAGTCGAATGGTTTCAATATAAATATTTAACAAATGAAAAAGAAAAACTTTTAGCCGTTGGTGAAAGTGGTGTTCTCATGCTTTTTTCATTTAATTTTGATGAAACGGCAAAAGGTAAAATATCCATAAGTCAATAAATAAATAAAGAAAGAAAAGAGGAACTCAACATTGATTTTGTTTTAGAAATGTTAAAAATGAATTATGTAATGGTGGATGAAAATTTTCTCAATTGTAAATATAGTAAAAAAGAATTAAGACAACAGATACGAAAACAAGGGCGACCACTCGAAGAATTTAGTTATTATAAAAAAACATATTCAGGACTTTGTTTTACAATATTTAATGATAGAAATGATTGTTACATATCTACCAAAGAAGGCGTCATCATAAAAGTAAAATTTTTTTTAAAATTAATAATGACTAAAGTGTAATTAAGTATTATTGATTGAATTTTTGTTTTTTTTCCAGTGCAGTTTAATAAATCCTTCCATGAATGATGGAATATATCCAGGTCATGATGGTTCTATTTATACAATTTCTCATTCTCCAGTATCTGATTTGATATATCTAACATGTGGAGCTGATTGGAGTATAAAAATATGGATGGATGGAATAACAAAACCACTTTTTACACTTCAACAAAAGGTATAGTATAAAAATTATGAATTTATATTCGTGGATTGATTATTTAATTAATTTCCAGGCACCTGTACGATGTGCAACATGGTCACCAACCATTCCAACAATGATAGCATCAATCGGAGATGCTCAACTTAATTTGTGGGATATATCAATGAATATAATATCACCTGTTTCTTGTAAAAATTTTCAAGAGTGCACGAAACCATTGTCAAAAGTTATTTTTTTTCCTAACGGACGGGTGAATGATTAATTAATTAATTATTTAATTTATTTATTTATTTATAAATTTATTAAAATTTTTTTATTTTTAGAATATGGCTGTCGGTGGTGAAGATGGAATTGTTCGAGTCGTTAATTTATCTCAATTACCGAGAACTCCATTTTTACAGGTAAGTTTTTTTACTTATTTATTTATTTAACTTTATCTTCCAACGACCTATTAATTAATAACTTATTAATAAAACTAACATTTTTTTTTTTTTTAGGAAGAATCATTAATGAATTCAATAAAAAAAAACATAAGGAAAAAAAAAGATATTTTAAATTTATTTCTAAGGTCATTAAATGAAAATAAACATAGACTAAAAACGGATTTGGTTTTACTTTAATAATTTATGTATTTTTCTTACTATTTATTAACCTTCCTTTTACTTCAATAAATAAATTAATAAACGTCAATATTAATTAATTAAAATTTTCTTTTTATTTAAAAATTAATAAACCTTTTAACAAGGTTAAATCTATCTATCTATCTATCTATCTACTCATCATCAATTATAATTTAACTCTGATTATTATTATTATTATTATTATTATTATTGTGATTACATAATAATAAAATATTTACAATTTAAATAAAAAAAAAAAAATTTAATTTTGTAATTCATTTTACAAATAAAATAATAATAAAAATATACAAAACAATTTTTTTGATTAACATAAATTATTATTATTATTATTATTAAGATATTGAGGAGGGAGGGAAGGGGGAAGATTTTTCGATTAACATTTTTTATTAAAAAAATATAAATAAATAATTTTTCTTTTATTTTCATATTTGATTTTTTTTTTCACTTTGGAAAAAATTTTTAAAAACTAAAAGAAGGGGGCGTGGCGTGGCGGTGGCGGGACGGGGGCGTGGCGCGGGAGAAAAATAAGAAAAACAAACAAATTATTTTCTTTTGTTTTTGTTTTGTTTTTTTTTTTGAAAATAATGATGATAATAATGATAATAATGATGATAATAATAATAATAATAATAATAATAATAATAACAAAAAAGAAATTATTGTCGTTTGAATAATACTTAACGAGTAACAATGGAAAAAGGAAAATTATTTTTTTTGATTTTTCTCCTCTCTCTCTCTCTCTCTTTTTAACTTAAAATATTGTTAATAAGGAAAACTAATCCAAATTTTACATTATAGACAAAACTAATTTTTTCTCTTTTTTTCTTTTCTTTTCTTTTAAATAACATTTTTACACAGTTTCATAAAAATAAAATTAAAAAAAAAAAAAAAAAAAAAAATAGAAAATAGATCTTCTGCTTCTGTCATCAAACAATCATCACATCAGCCTTCTATAATTTTTTTTTATCCATTTTTGAAATAATGTCACCTAATAAATCATAACTCTCATTAGTTTTTTTCTGTAATTTTTTTTTAAATTTTTTCATAACTTGTGACGGCGGAGGTTTTTCTTTCGACGACACTCCATTGTCTTGAGGGTTTTTCACGTTGGAGTTAATTGTCGATGGAGGAGGGAATGACGTATCCGATAATGATTTATCGTGATTTTCACATTGGGGAGGGCTGCTGGGTGGCAAAGGAGGATTTGCCGGTGGGGAATTTAAAGGAGGAGGAGGAGGAGGCGGGAGATGGGGAGGTAACGGAGGAAGGGGAGGCACGGGAGTCGTACTATCCGTTTGAGGATGGTTTTCTTTGAGATCATTGCTTGTCGTCGTCGTCGACCCGTTGCTTGTCGCCATATTTGTCACACTGGGTTCATCTTTTGCGAGGGGTACAACAATTGGAATCGTTTCTGTTGAATCGTTTTTTTTACCGGTATTACCACTTGAATCGTTTAAATTTTCGTCAATTTTATTCTGTTTTTTGTCGACATTTACTTTTTCGTCTACCACCACATCATCGTCATTCGTTTTTACACTCGGTTCACTTTCGATCCCCTTTTTTTCTCGTTCTTTTTCCCGGGAAATCGGACTCTTATTTCCGTTTTCGACAACGTCCGAACTCTGTTTTTCTTCTTTGATTTTTTTAACCGGAGTAACCGTCGGAGATTCTTCGTGTTTTCTTTTCACACTTCCGTTTTTGTCTTCAGTCTTTGTTTTATGTAAATTTTGTCCGTTTGAACTCGACGACACGTGTTCCTTACTTTTTTCTTTCACTTTGTTTTCTTTTTTGTCCTGACTCGAACCACTCGATTTCGATGATTTTTCATGCCTGCTTTCCTGTGAACTTTTCTTATGCTTCGACTCATCACTTTTCCCATGCTTTGATTTGGCTGAGAGTTTATCACTTTCTTGATTTGATGATTTGTCCTTTTTAACATCGAATTTCGAATCTAAATTTTTCACTTCGTGCCTATAACTGGAATGACTACTTTTTCTTTTTTCTTTTTTAGATGGCGTCGTCCGATCATCATCCTGTGATCGACGTTTGTGAGAATGTTCGGATTTTTCGCATGATTTCGACAATTCTTTAGAACGTTCCTCTTTAGAACCACCATCGATCGATTCAGATCTTTCACGTTTTTTTGAACTATTATTACTACCACTACTATTAGTATTACTGCTACTAATTTTTTTATCTTGAGTATTACTAGACGTTTCGATTTCTTTATTATTATTGACGATATTATTAGGCGAAGGAGGCACTGGATCTGATTGCTTTTCTTTTTTGCTTGCAGAGCGAGGCGTTGAATGTTTGTGCATTTTCCTGGGAGAATGTTTAAATGGTGAATATTCTTTTAGTCTATCACTTTTTTTCGGAGTTTTCAAACCGGTTTCCTGCAAGAGAAAAATATATAGTTTTCTACAATTTTCATTTTATAACTTTTTGGAATTAAAAAACGTTAGGATTCCTTACCGAATTAGTAATGGCTGATAATAAGTCGCACTCTCGAACTGGCGGACAGTACACGGCTACATTTTTCTTTTCGTAAAAAACTTGTCCTTTATTGATTCCAGTTGGTGTATGTAAATTAGGAGCACCGTGTAATGAAAAATAGTCTCGATACCTTATGTGCCATGCTTCAGATAAGATACAAAAAAAAAAAATGAAATTAAAACAAATTAATCGATAGTAGAAAAAAATGCTGTACATTTTTAAAATTTACCACAGTTTTTTATATTGTACTTACCCACACTAGCAACGCTACTGATTGTTTGAAATTGATGAATTATTTTTCTAGGCAAATAATACACGTCGTTATCGTGTAATTGTAAATGTGCATATCTTATACCTTCACGTCTCAAAGTATTTAATTTTGATGTCTACAAATAGAACCAGTGATAATTATTTTAATATAAATATAACATTTAAAAATGTAAA